AAATACCAAAAAAAAATCAACATTGTGGGAATAAGCTGGAAATCAGATTAGCTGCTGGCAGTCCCTGTTATTATCCTCGAAGCTAACACTTTACGAAAATCCATAACCCCATCCCGATAATGATTGAATAATTTTCACAAACATTCTTCATTTTCAGACACGTTTTTCTAACACCTTAGCTTACTCAGTGGAAATTTCTACAGAGGAATTTATGGTGTTAGTGAACTGACTTTGTATAAACTCCTGCAATATTTCAGAAAACACTGAAAATATTTTATCTTTATATTCTCATTATGAAGATATTTGGATTATGCTCTGACGAAATTATTTACAATAATTTATGACATGAGGAATTCTACAGAATTTCTGTCCTATTGGATAATGCAGTTATACTGTGTCAGTGACAAATTGAATTTAAATGTTGAAATTCATAAGAAACCTTCAGAATTTTCATGGACTCTAAAGTCAAAGACATATGAAGTCAATTAGTGTTCTACTTTTATTTAGATGGCAGAATTAAAAATGAATGAGAAACACCGACTGAGACATATGACTAGAATGAAAATAACACGTTGTTCACTCAACTCAAAAACAATTTTTTTCAAAAATCAAAAGTAGAACTATTATCCATACCATTTTTCACTGGTAGTCCTGAAGCAACCATATATGAATCTCCAATTGTCTCAACCTTGTAGACATCATAGCACTCTATCCTCGCATCAAATTGTTTGTATATTTTGTTCAGGAACGTAACTACCTAAAATAATTATATTATTATATCAACTGTTGACACCTTTGCTCATATCTTACTTCTAGAGGAGTACTGACTGCTGCAATTTCAGTAAATCCAACAATATCACTGAAGTAAACAGTGACTGATGCATAATATTCAGCGGGTACCTAGAAAATTTGACGTTTCTTGAAAAATAATCAAAGGAGTATACACTTTGAGAGTTGTTCATGAGAACAAAATCTGCCAAATTTTTAGAACAAACTGGAAGAAAAAGCCCTTCTAAAAACTCATCTCTTCTGGATATATACTCCTTTCAGTGTGTATTGTTCTTCAGAAACAATGAAATACATAAGATGCGCGTCCAACTGAATCTAATATAATTCGACACACGTTAGAACTGTTATAAATATTATCTATAGTACTGACAAAAAATATATGAAGTGAATCTTATAGTTGCTCTCTCTAAGCTACCTCAATTTTTGTTTCCTTCATTGAGAACCATGAGGAAAAAATAGAAATACAACTTTATCCATACCTGCCTAGTTTGCTTCAACTGTGTTGCCACGCTTGGTGGCAACATTTGGAAGAGCAACAAGTCACTCTTCCTTTTCTCCCTCTTCAATTCCTTAGCCTTTTTGGCTAAATTAGCAGCATATAACTAATAATATTCATAACTCATGAAGGCTTTTTTAATAATATACGTTACCTGTATAGTGGCGACGGCGTTCCTTACTAGCCAAATTATCACTGGAGATAATGATAATACCAGAACGAGAATTGCTATGCCGATTGCTTCACTTCTAGCAGAGTCACGAAGATTTTCATCGACGTAATCTCTAAAAAAAAATTCAACGTCATAAATATACAGACTGGTCCAAAGATAAGTATATATAAAGTATTTTCACTTTTGTCGCTGTAGTCCCTACAGGACAAAAGGGGCTTTAAAATGTGGTTCTCACTCTAATTTTCTATTTGTTGAATTTTGATTTTATGAATGATTTTCAAACATCGTGATCATAAACAGCGAATAACAATCAAAAAATGAAGTTCAATTATTGAGAATCCAAACAAAAAATCTTATTTTCTTGATATGGCATTGCCATTCTTCATTCAATAGTTGAACTTGTGAAGGAGTTTACTATCAGATCTAGTTTCGAAATGTGGGGTAAGTGATCATTGGGTTCGAGAATCATGTACCCTCATCAGATGCAGTGAGTCAAGAATAACAATCTTTAGCATTTTTACGTTTGTCAGAACAAGCTGCACAAACCTGCATGATCTGGAGAGCAAGATTGGAGAGAACATCATTCCGTCAAAAACTACAATAATCAAAACAACCATCTAGAAAAAGAGATCTGGATTGCCGCGGAGTTCGAAGAGAAAAATTTGATATTTTATTTTTTCGCACGATATTCGTTTTCCCATTTCCCAAAACAGATTCAATAACCCTCGAAACGTAGGGCAAAACCGGTATCTCGTTACTACTGAAAAAGTGGCTTCAACACATTCGGAGGGCGCGCCGATATTACCATCCAATAATCACTCCTAATACCAGGAGGTAAGTGATCATGATGTTGATTATTATTATTTGAATAATAATTTTTTTTTCACTTAAATTTGCGCTAGTCAGGCCCTATCCCCCAAAGCCACAATACATTTAGCAGCATTATCAACCAATGACCACTNTATATTACTTTGAAGAAATATATGGGCACAGTTATCTGTGTTTTCAGTACCTACTACCATGAGTGAAAAACTTGTAGAAGTTGAAACTTCGTGATTGTGATTGTTGAAATATATTTACCCCATACAGAAAAGCTTACTCATTCCTTTACACTCATTATAAAATAAAAATTACATTTATTATCAACATCTAGATGCACATATTCGAAATAACATGAAAAAGTGTTCTATTAAAAATAACTCTCATTCCTCAGTCTCTTTATGAAAACTGGCTCCATATCTTCATCCTCCTACAACAAAATACGAATCAGTAACGATCATCTATAGTACAATTCCATAATAGTAGGCACTAAATTCTCAGAAATATTATTGCATAAAAACGGAGACATTGTTGTCAAGGTTGTTATTCTACACACTGCAGGAGACAGATTGAAGCAAAAACTTCAGTCATTTCTGAGAATTTGGTTCTTACTATTTTGGACACGTGATTTTAATCACTTCGATCAAAACAAATTGCTCATCTGTTCATGTCGATATAATAAAAGTAATAATTTTTCACTTCTGTAGTAAACATTACCAGAAAATATGACGGTGTATCCATTTCTATCGTTCGATTCATCCCACCTTCTTTACACTCGAGCCAATAAGTATCCAGCATTCCTTTTCCCTGAAATGACAAATGAATGAGAGAAGTTATATTAGAACTCGAAGGGCTGAATTCATGCTTCAGAATAAATCAGTCGGTACTGAATCAATAGATTTCATCAGTGGCACTAGGCTTGTTCCGAAATTGAACAATACTTCGTAAAACGTATTGACGAAAATCACATTTGCATATGGTCATCAAAATGAGGTCTACGTGAGGAAAGGTGTCATTACCATCAATCATTCATACAGAGTTATTCTAACTGAGATTAGAGAATCTCTAACGTTGCATTCGTGATCCGTCTCGATATCAATGATGAGACATAAAATGGATTAAATAGCACTGTTTGATATTGGATCAAGAAAAACAAGACCTTGAGTTTCGGTGCTATTCTATCGTTCGCCCCCAGAGAGTGCTTTGGTTTGAGTTGTCTGTCAAACTCAGAGATGACTTCTTCATGGGAAGAGTCGTCGTCATTACTTTTCATACAGAATCATTTTGAGGGCATATGTTAACAATTTTGCCATGTATTGAATATCCTAAAGAGCGACATGCGAACCGGGATGAAATAACCTCAAAATATTACTTGACAGTACTTCATAACTTTATTGAAACCAAGCAGAGTACAATTGTAATTCGATGATTTTAATTTCTGAATTCAGAACCTTTTCAATTCAAACAAATATTTGTAACCTGTCTCATTGTGATCAAATAGATGATAGTTGATAGTATTGCACAATAAAGTGAAGAACTGCATCTGAAGACGTTTCATTTCGTTGAAGAGGTTAGATGTTCGATTAATCAACGTTTTAACGATTCCATTGTACAGAGATAGATGATGATCAATGAAAAGTTCGATCTTTGTAACGATACGTACAACCCCACTATGGGGCTGGTCTATATCAAGAGGGATATCCGTCAAAATGATTATTCAAAAACTCCTAAATGATTTTATTCAACTTTTTCGAATGGTTGTTCAAAATCAAGAATCTGGTACAGTTAAGGAATATCACCTCACCCAAGCCAAAATTGTTCTGTTTGTTTCATGACACCGGATCATTGATCAGCTTGTTGTATACAAGCAACGATTGTGGGTTCTAAAATAGTCTAGACAAAAGAGGTGTGCGTATCATTGTCGAAAGAATGTACGAAACAGTATCTTTGAAATACTGGGCGCTTCCCTCACAAACTTTCTTTTTTCTGCCAATTCATGGAAACCTTTATGGATCATGAAGTAACTATAGAATACAACCCTGAGTCTACAAATGAAATGGGGGTTGACTGAAAATCTGATCAAGAGTGGAAGCTCATGCCAACAAACCTACTAGGTTTTGTGGTATAGAGAAGAGGCGGCTTATCGCCTCCTTCAGAGCGGGAAATGTTATCAATTTGCTTTGCACCAAATTCTTGAGCAGATGATCGACATTAAAATGGAATTTAGGTTCGAGGATGAAGTTATGAATCGATATTAGATGGGAAGATGTTTCGTGCTTATGGAATCTGCCACGTGAGGAGACTGACCAGCCCCCTTGTGAATGACAACGATCTTTCCATGGGGCAACACCAAAAATCCTGGGCACAATAATTCAAGAATGAAATGAGCAAGTGCAAATTCCATCTCCCCATCCAAAAGTCTGGAATCTTCTATTGGAATTGAAATAAATAAAGATGCTTGTCGTTTACCACAGTCACTTCTTATTTAGAATGAAGAGTATATTCAATTGGAAAAATCTGGAGAATACCGTATGTTACCTTCATCTATTTGTAGAAATAAAACTTTCTTTAAATTCAAAAGGTGTATTTTTAGTGGAGATTAATTTTTGGGAAGTTTTCGTCCTTCTTCTTCTCCATCTTGATACAAAAAATGTGGGATTCTTCCTAAGTTATTCGAAATGCTACTGAAGAGCCGATAAACATCGGATGTCTAGCAGTGAAGATGACAGAATTCCATGTAAGTCAAATGTTACTTCTTTCGTTGATTAAAGTGTGTAGGAATCCTGTGAATAATATCTGATTCGATTCCATTTTGAAATACAAACGAAATAGAGAAAAGTGTTTTTCGTATAATTTTGAAACTGTATAGTAATGCTAGGGAAAGGATGGTTTTGGCTTTCTACTTTTCCATCTTGATACAAAAAATGTAGGATTCTTCCTAAGTTATTCGAAATGCTACTGAAGAGCCGATAAACATCGGATGTCTAGCAGTGAGGATGACAGAATTCCATGTAAGTCAGATGTTTTTTCTTTCGTTGATTAAAGTGTATAGGAATCCTGTAAATAATATCTGATTCGATTCCATTTTGAAATACAAACGAAATAGAGAAAAGTGTTTTTCGTATAATTCAGCATTCATATAACAGTGTGTGTTTCGAAAGTATTTTTTTTTTCGTGTAATCTAATGTTTATAAGAGTGAAGCTGTTTCGAAAGGGCTTTTTCTTCCAGTTTGTGTCTTGAAAGTTACTTCTTTGCATGAGTTACACATCTTTGTATAGAGTTGATTTTTTTAAATTGATTGCTCT